TATATCACTTGGAGTGGAAAACTGGCAGGAAGGAGAATGTATGGATGCAAAATCTTCTGCATAACTGCAAAGGTGATTTAAACCGAGTGTCTTTCCTAATAGAGCCTTAGCATTTCTTCTGTCCTAACTTTCCTTCTTAGAATAGTTTTAATTTCAAACCTGATTAGTAATACACATCGGCTGATAAAAGGAGCACTAAGAATTCCTCTGAAAAACACCCATGGCTTCTTTTGGAAAAGGGACTCTAGAGATGGTAGGGAGATGAACAATCGCATTTTTTTCTGTGTGTGCACCAGCCAGTGGTGCTACTTAGCATTTCTCCTCGGGCTTTATTCCTCTTACAGAGGGATAACTTTCATAAGGACAGATAGTTCAATTGGGATTCTGCAGTTACCAAGTTCTATTTGGCCTCAGATTGGGTGGTGAGGAGATTGCCTACTGCCAAGCATTCACCTGGGACCCAGGTATCATTCCTGCACAGTGTTGTAAAGAAACTTGTTTCGCTTTTTAAGTTTTTGTTACTAAACATGTAAATGCAGGTAACAGTCATCAGAGTCATGACCATTAAGTAGTGAGATAAGGTGAATGAAATGATAAGTACATTTTAAGGCTCAAGAAATGCCATCTAAAGCAGGCAAACAAAATGGGTATCTCCTTAAGGTGCTCTCCTCCTTTGCTTAGCTTGAAACTTTTGAGAAGCAGCCTCATTCAAGATAATCTGTATTTAAGAACAACCTCCAAGGGGTGGGGTGGTTTACACTTGGGACAACTTGATTTGAATTTTCATCCAGCCAAAGTTGGCAGGGGCAACATGCACCAGCTGAGAAGCTGTGTGCTACCTTCTGGCAGCCAATATGCAAATGATGTTGTATTAATTACCAAAGAAAACCTGATTAACCCAGAAGTCCTTTAACTGTCAGCAAGGCAGCTGCCCTGACTCTGGAACAGATTTTCCTCTTCCCTCCTATGGTCTGCAGCTTTTAATCTTTTCCTCAGAGGCCTGCTGGGACTGCACCGTAGGTCTTGGAGCCCCTGACTGATTCAGGCAGCTTTCTGCTCTGTAGTTATAATGGTCGGGGGCATTGCGTAATTACTTTCATATATGATTTAAAAGAAAAACAACCAGACTGTCTCTCATCTCCCATGCATCATTTTTTTTAACAGTAAAAATGGGCAGTATTCTAAGATTGCAGACTGGCATGGATGTTAGAGATGATCAGATCCAACTCCCCTAGCTTGCAGATGAATGAATCGAGGTTCAGAAAGATGCGGAGGCTTGCCGAGGTCACCTGGCTCATCAGGGATGAAGCTGCCACCAGGCCTTCTGCCCTGCACTCCAGTGCTGGCCCCACTTCTGTGTTGTGCTCCTCATTGCTGAGCCAAGTGCCCTAAGAAGCAAGGAGTCAGCCCTTCTTCTTTCAGCTTCATTTTTCTCCATGCCCTCATTCAAATCTGATAGATAATTTAGATAGCGGTTAAAAATCTAAAGACTAAGATGTATGCAAAAATGGTGATATTTTGAAAAATAGGGGCCAGCATGGTGGTGCATAGCATAGCATGCTGATCTTCCACCTACAGCACTGGTATCCTATATGGGCACTGATTGAAGACCTGGCTATACCACTTCCAATACAACTCCCTGCTTATAGACTTGGAAAGCAATGGAGGATGGCCCAAGTCTTTAGGCCTCTGTACCCATGTGGGAGACCTGGAGAAAGCTCCTGACTCCTAGCTTTGGACCAGCCTGACTCTGGCTGTTGTAACCATTTGGGGGGTAAACCTGTGAATGGAAGACCTGTCTGTCTCACCTTCTCTCTCTGTAAAATCTTTGAAATAAAAATAGAAAAATCTTTAGGAAAAGAAAAAACAGATAGTGGTATCCCTATCAAGCTTCTTAAGTCCAATAGTCTGTGCATAGAACCCTGGCATAGTAACTGTAAACTGGACTCCAGCCTCCTTTTCATCATACTGATTGTTGGTTGTTCGACAATAGCAGGTTTATTTGTAGTAGCTGTTTTGGGAGTTGTGGCAAGGGGAAGGTGCTCATTTGGATCAGATGAATGATGAGGTGTGTCGGCTGTGGTTTTGGTGGAGGCAACACACTTTATTGGCTTTCCTGTGGTCAACACTTTGTCCCAGAGGTGTTAGATCTTCTCCCCCGGGTCCAAAGAAGTGGCTTCAGTGGTTTCCCTCTCTATTATCTGTCCCCTCAGTTGCTGTAACAAAGTGCTGGTTTGTTTTTATTATTGTCAGACAATGCTTATTGTAGGAATTGAGAGCTTGTTCGTTTGGTTTTTTAAAAAGATTTATTTATTTATTGGAAAGTCAGATATACAGAGAGGAGGAGACACAGAGAGGAAGATCTTCTGTCCGATGATTCACTCCCCAAGTGAGTGCAATGGCCGATGCTATGCTGATCCGAAGCCAGGATTCAGGAACTTCTTCGGGTATCCCACACGGGTGCAGGGTCCCAAAGCTTTTGGGCTGTCCTTGACTGCTTTCCCAGGCCACAAGCAGGGAGCTGGATGGGAAGTGGAGCTGCCGGGATTAGAACTGGTGCCCATATGGCATCCTGGCACGTTCCAGGTGAGGACTTTAGCTGCTAGGCCACGCTGCTGGGCCCAAGAGGTTGTTAGTATAAATCCACACTTAGGCGTGGGGTTGAGAATCTCAGGAGAACTGGCGAAAGAGGAAAGCTGGGAGGTGTGGATGAGAGTGGAGAGACTCACCAACTTCACCTGCTCAGGCTGAGACAGTGCTAGTTCTGTTCTTCAAGGTGAGCTCTGTATCTTGTCCACATCTGTTGTCCATGGTGACATGAAGCAAGTTTTTAGGAATGACAGTTGCTCTTCAGTTGTCTGTGATGACATTGGACTTCTCAAAACACCTCGTGGATTTGCTGATAACTTCCTGTAAACAACTCTGTAACAAATGGAACCTTTTTAAAGAAAATATTTTATCTATTTATTATTTATTTGAGAAACAGAGAGAGAAAATGAGTGAGAATCTTTTCCAGCCACTGCTTCACTCCCCAAATATCTTCAATTCCCCAAATATCTTTGTCCTCAGCCAGGACAAAGCCAGAAGCCAGGAATTCTATCTGGGTCCAAATGGGAAGAAGAGACCCAAGTGCTGGGGCCCTCACCCACTGCATTCCATGTTGGGTGGCAGTAGCAGCAATAGGACTCAATCTCAGGCATTCCAACGTGGGATGCAGGTGTCCCAGTTGGTGGCTTGATGCACTGTGTCACAACACCTGTGCTTTCTTTGTGTAACATTACCCATTTCGTATGTGTCAGTCATTGGGTTGGGTGTTTTGGGTACAGAAACAAGATTGTTCTTCCTACTTTAACAATTCTAACCAGGTAATCAGCATTAATTGTGGCAAGAATAGTCTAATTATAAAGAAGGGATGAAGGGACTTGGGACCACCCCACTGTAACATGCACAGTGGTCACAACAGGCAGTTGGCCAAGTTCCCTTGATTTTTGACTGTGGGCTGAAGACTAGGCAGTGTTCTAGAATTTCAGTGCTGTGCTTAGAAAGTACCTTGCATGGAATGATTCATGGAGTTAATGCTCTTTGTTCTTCCAGAGCAGCCTGTCTCTTTCACAGTGGAGGCATTTCCTTGTCTCAGTGTCTGGTGTCGCTAATGTATGTGTGTGGGACCAGGTGAAGCCCTTACAAACAGTTATGAAAGACAGAGCCATAACGAAATGCACAGAGGGGCCTACATGAACACAGACCTCTTTAAACTTTTGGGTGTTGCCGTGTGTCAGAGACGGAAACTTGAGGATTTGAAATAGTAGATACAGTCCTAATCAGGTCTGCCCTGCTTCAATTATATGAACAAAATAAACATTACACAAATGGTTTAATGGAACTTATGGTGAAGTGACTAAAGGGAATACTATTTCAGTTAGTGCCACCCAACATTTCAATTATGTTGTTTGTATTTGGCTAGATTATTTGACCTTCGTACAGCCAAGAATTGCATGTCTGAGCCTTTCTGAACACATATAGGGGTTGCCTAAATCTTAGATGTGGAAAAGTGATGAAGGGATCTAGTTTAGATCAAAGTGATGCTGAACTAGTTCTGGGTCCTTTTTCCCAAGCAGAGGCTGTCATGTTTAGGAAGCACTTGTTTGCTGTTGAACACTGTTTAAGCCTGTTTAAAGTTGACATCTATGTGGAGTGGTGGGTGTCCTGAGAGCAGAATGTTTTGGAGACAGATAACAGCTCTTCCTAGACTTGCCTGGATGTTATCCTAATAGGCAGCTCTTTCCCTTTGTTTTTTCCAGGGTCTTGTCATCCATAAATGGAAGGAATATGATTTGATTAGGGAATATTGATCTTAATTGGGCACCTGATGTTGTAAGAAAACAGATTACTTGGCAGCTGGAATGCTGTCACAAGCTTTCAGGGAGATGAACTGGAAAATGTTCTAGAGTCCATGCAAGCTGGAACTGCCTTGTATCTTACCATATGTATGTGTATATATACAGATGAGCTCATATGTTATAAAATGCTGTGAGGAAAACAGCTAGGTGAAATTGCATAGAGGAATTTAAAGGCTGTGGATATTCAAGTAGTAGATCTTCTGAAAGAAGAGTTTTAATTTTGACTGTTCAGGTACAGCTTGCTGTTGGCCCTGTCCTGGTGTGGTGCCTTAACAGTCTTGTGTTTGTGAATTGAATCCTTCTAAATTCCTGAGGCTGTTGCTCTCCCAAGTGGAAAAGGAATGGTGGGAGATCAGCTGATTGTCATCGATCTGGATATAAAAGAGCAGCTGGTTCATTGAAGAGCTGCTAGGTGGAGGAAATTCTGCTTGATACTCGGAGAGCTCCTGACTGGGATATTTTGTTCAACTGAGAATTTCTTAGAAGTTTCTCATCTAGAACACCGAGATCATAATGGAGTCTCTGTGTGAGTCTTGAAACCCTGCTCACTGTGCTCTCTCTGCTTCTTTCTCCTTCTCCATGCTCCCCTGCCCCAACCAGGCCAGCTGAGCTGCATTTCCTTCCCGCCTGAGGAAGAAAAGTACCTCCAGCAGACTGTGGACTGCCTCCCCTGCATCTTGATCCTGGGCCAGGACTGTCATGTCAAGCGCCAGCTGTTGAACCTGCTGTTGGGGATACAGGTGCTTCCCACCACCAAGCTGGGCAGTCATAAGAGCTGCAAGTTGCGGCGCCTCCGCTTCACCTATGGGACTCAGACTCGGGTCAGCCTGGCACTGCCTGGACGTTACGAACTGGTGCACACGCTGGCTGCCCACAAGGGCAACTGGGAGACCATCCCCGAGGAAGACCTGGAGGTCCAAGAGGACAGTGAAGATGCTGCTCACGTCTTAGCTGAACTGGAGGTGACGATGCGCCATGCTCTCTTACAGGTACCAGTCTCATGCTGATTCACTGATTGCACACAGATGCAACAGTTTGCCTTTGATATGGCTTTCTCAAAAGGTGGTTTGGCGATGTACACCCTGGGGTCAGAGGAGCAACAGCTGGAGTCAGAGAAGTTGTAATCTAGAAAGCTGAAAAATGGACAAGGCAACAGCAGTGCCCAGCCCTGCTGCTGTTTGCCAGACTGCCAGATTGTGCTTGTCTTCTTGCCTCCTTACCACTCATTCTAACGGACAAAGAATGTGGGATGCTTAAATCTTGGTAAGCTTTTACAGAAAAGCTGTGATCAAAGTTTGAAATTCTAACATTGTTGTTAGAACTGCTGCTAGTTACCTTTTTCTACCTAATGTTCTGTTAGAATTGAGCTCAAGTGGGGTTGAGGGGAGAACAATGGCATAATAGGCTAAGCCTTCACCTGCAGCGCCAGCATCTCATATAAGCACCAGTTCATGTCTGATCTAGTTCCCTGGTAATGGTATGGGAAAGCAGCAGAGGATGTTTCAAGTTCTTTGGTCCCTTCACCTGTGTGGGAGACTCAGGAGAAGCTCCTGGCTTTGAAATGACTTAGCTCTGGCCATTATGGCCTTTTTGGAGAGTGAACCAGTGAATGAAAGATCTCCATCTCTCTTGTTCTCTCTGTAACTCTGGCTTTCAAATAGAAATGAATAACAAATCCTTAAAGAATTAAAAGTTGCTTAAGAAAAGAATTAAGATGAAGTGAAGAATTTGGAGAATTTTTTCCTTTAATGTGGCTATTCATTTGCTAAGTGAGAAAGATCATTTCTTCTAGTTTGTATAGCACTCAGGGGCATGAGGGAGTGTCTAGCTCAGTGTAAGGGGACGGGAAGATTCCATCATTTGGAGATTGTTTTGGCTTTTCTCTTAAAGTAACTCCTAGAGAACACAAGTGCCATAAGCATTGTGTAAGAGATTATGGTGTCTGTCTGTCTGGTATTTGTTTCTTCACTTAGGGAGGCCTCTTTTCTCTGGTTGGGCTTCCTTGCCACTGGGAAGCTAGGGCAAGGGTGTTTAATTAGGCCAGATGGGGATGAGCAAAGGATGTGACTGTGTTAGAGGTCAGGAGCAGGTAGCAGTAGAACGCAGATATACTCAGAATAGAGCGTTCTTCCCCCTGTTTAGCTGTGCCAGGAAGGCCTCGGGAGCCTGGCAGCTTGGCCTGGCAGTCCGTGAGGCTTTTGTATAGAGCTGTAGTCTGTGACAGCCCACAAGTAGGAACTGTCATCTCGTTTCCCTCCACAGTCCATATTTCTTTTACCTTCCTACAATCTAGAAGGCACTAGGTAACAAGCCCCCATTTCCCTAGTTGAGTTTTAAGGGTGAGTTTGTGCTGTTTCCCCAAGAAGAATCTGCACTGCTTAGCTCCAGGGCACAGGTAACAGTGGCAGTAGCCCTGGCAGCTGTCCATGTTATCATCAGCTGAGCTGTTTGTTTGGCCGACCTGTTTCACAAGTATTTGATTCATATACCATCTCTCTGCAGTGCACTGCCCTAGTTTATTTCCTTCCAGTTTGCAACCATGCCATGGCTTTCAAAGCTGCTTACATTTCAAGTCAGAAATACTTGTACATTTCAGTCCTGCCATTTGCCTGTGGATGGACGTGGAAGATATTGTGCTGAGTGATATAAGCCAGACATAGACAGACAGTGCATGATCTCACATGGAATATACAGAGATAGTAAATTGCTAGGAGTGCAGGCTAGTGGATAAAAAAACAGCTTATAGGGTGAGCAAGACTGTAGTTGATAACACTGTATTGCACTAAGGGTCTTAGTTTAAGTATATTTTAGCTATTTTTTTATCAGAAAAAAATTAATTATGTAACATGACAGATATGCTAATTTGCTTTACTGTCAGTTGTGTCCCATAACATCATGTAGTTACCCTGAAAAATGAAGACTATAATTGATTCTTTAAAAAAATAGAAATATTGGACCCAGTGCAACAGTCCTGTGGCTAAAGTCCTCACCTTGCATGTTACAGCATCTCTATGGGCACTGGTTTGTGTCCTGGTTACTCCACTTTGCTGCCAGCTCCCTGCTTGTGGCCTGGGAAGGCAATGGAGGATGGCTCAAAGTCTTGGGAATCTGCACCCGCATAGGAGCCCTGAAAGAAGCTCCTGGCTCCTGGCTTTGGATCAGCTCAGCTGTGGCCATTGTGGCCACTTGGGGAATGAACCCAGCAGATGGAAGATCTTTCTCTCTGTCTCTCCTTCTCTCTGTAAATCTGACTTTCCAATGAGAACAAAATTAATCTTAAAAAAAAATGTTTTCGAGTTGGGGAGCACTGAATTAAGCCACTGCCCATGATACTCACATTCAGTATGGGTACCAGGTTGATTTCCAGCTGCTCTGCTTCAATCCAGCTCTGCTGATGTGCCTAGGAGATTGGCAGAGCATGGCTTATGTTTTTATGTCCTTGTCGCCCACATGATAGATCTGGATGAAATTCCTGGGTCCTGGCTGCAGCCTGGCCCGGCCATGGTTATTGCAGCAATATGGGGAATGAACCACTGGATGGAGGATCTTTCTGTGTATACACCTGTGTATGTGAGAGAGTGTATGCATATAAATATGTAACTTTGCCTTCAAATAACATACTGTTTTTAAGATTTATTTTTTGTTGGAAAGGCAGATTTACAGAAACATGGAGAGACAGAAAGATCTTTCATCTACAGATTCATTCCCCAAATGACTACCATGGCCAGAACTGAGCTGATCAGAAGCCAAGAGCTTCTTTCAGTTTTCCCACATGGTTTCAGGGTCCCAAGGCTTTGGGCCATCCTCTGCTACTTTCCCAAATCATTAGCAGGGAACTGAATTGGAAGTGGAGCAACTGGGATATGAAATGGTACCCATATGGGATGCTAGTGCTGACAGGCAGAGGATTAGCCAGTTGAGCCATCATAACAGTCCCCTAAATAAATCTTTAAAATTTAAAAAAAAAAAGGATTTTTTTAGTTGAAATAGAAAGTTCATGAAACTGTACTTTTGTTTCTGTAAAATATATTATTTTCTTCTCTATTGAATTTTTTAAAAAGATTTATCATTTATTTATTTAAAGGCAGAGTTACAGAGAGAAAGAAGTTGATTTCCATCCACTAGTTCACTCCCTTAATGACCACAGCAACTAGGGTTGCACTAGGCTGAAGTGAGGAGCCTGGAGTTTCTTTTGGGTCTCCTGCGTGAGTAAGCTTGGGCTACCTTCTGCCGGCAGACACATTATCAGGGAGCTGGATCAGAAGTGTAGCAGCCTGATCTCAAACTGGCATCTCAGGCAGCAGCTTCACCCACTAAACCACAATACCACCCCTTCAACTTTGTTTTGTAAAAATGGTGATAAGAATGCACTAGTTGATGCTGTGACCTGACACATAGTAACTATAGCTTGGAAAATGCTAAGTAGCTACCACCACTGCCCTAAGTTGGTGGTGCTTTTCTGCATTATTGATTTCTCTGTATCAGCTCATTTTGTGGGCTAGATTTCTAATGCTCATTTACTTTAATACCATGAGTGGGCATAGTACAAGACAGTCATGGGAAAGCCAGAGTGAACAGTGTGTGCACCTGTGCATGGGTCCTCCCAGGAGCTCGCTGGGCCTGTCCTGATGTGTGCTAAGCACACCAGCTAAGCCTCAGCTGAGAAGAAACTGGGACAGGATGTTGAGATACCAAATGAATCCTCTCTGCATGGTGTAAATACATATTCTCACTCTTGGCTTAAGGAACCTCCTGCCTGGCATGATGGTTTTGTTTCATGTGGCTTGTGAGGATTTCTCATCTAGTGTTTCTCTCCGGATCTGCTTTATTCTCCAGTGGTTTTGATGTAAAGCTAATAACAGACCCCAGCGGTTGTTCTAAGTTTAGAACCCCTTGATGCCAAGCCTCAGGGGTCCCTGTGGCCTCTGCGGAATTTGAGTGTTGCCCTTTCACTACTGCTGGACTCTGATCTTGTGAAACACTTCAGTGATGTGCCACTTACTGCTGGGAGCATTGCTCGGTTACCTGGAGGTCTGTGGATGCCGTGAGAAAGCATTTTTTGTTCAGCTTGGGTTCTATTTAGGACCAGTGTGTTAGCTGTGAACAGCCCTTACAGTTGGTTTGTAAAGAGGGTGGGAAAGAAAGGAAACATTTAGCCAAAGGAAACCAAGCTTGAATTAGGGGAAGCGAGATGTTCATTTTAAACTGTCAAATTATCAAAGCAGAACTTCCCCCTGCCCTCTTATACAATGGTCATTTTCTAATGCATTGCTTTAAAGTCCTCATAAATTAGCCATTTTCAGTTGGTTCTGGATTAGAACAAGTCATAGGGACCCTGCCTGCGGGTTCCGGATCCTCTGAGCTTCTTAACCCAGAATTTGACCCCAAAGAACCCTGTCAAGCTGTAGGTGTCCAAAGCCTCGTAGGGGAATAAAGCAGTGTTTTTCCAACTAGCTCCTGTTTGGCCATCCCCCGTTTTCACTAATTCTATCATTAGCTACAATAATACTTTCCCTCCCCCTTCTCCAAACTCCCTCCTTCTAGCACCCATGTCTCCTTCTCTCTTTTCTTTTTTTCTGGTAGAACTCTCTTTTCTTTTTTTCTTTTTTTTTTTCTGGTGGCCTGCAATTTCCTCAGTGTGTGTTTTGTGTGTGTGTTTCCTGCCGACACCTCTAAGACAGTGGAAGTAGTTAAACTTGCCTAGCCCAAGGTGGATCCTGCAGCCAAGCAGTGGCATGTACTGTGGCTGTTACCTAGCTCTAGTTGATCTGCTCTTAGCAACAGCCTATTCCTGCCAGGAGCTCTCTGGCCCCTGGGACAAATGTTCACGTCACCTGGCAGCCAGACTGTCACACCAGTACAAGATTTTTTCTGGTAGGGAGTATTTCAGGGAACTGAGTTAGACTAATATTTCTAGACAAGGTCAGTGGTCTTCCAGTTAATTTTAATTTTTAAAAAAATGATTCATTTATTTTTATTGGAAAGAAAG